CGGAGGCTCAGAGGGGACCGAGGTCCAAACGGAGGCTCAGAGGGGACAGAGGTCCAAACGGAGGCTCAGAGGGGACAGAGGTCCAAACGGAGGCTCAGAGAGGACCGAGGTCCAAACGGAGGCTCAGAGGGGACCGAGGTCCAAACAGAGGCTCAGAGGGGACCCAGGTCCAAACGGAAGCTCAGAGGGGACAGAGGTCCAAACAGAAGCTCAGAGGAGACAGAGGTCCAAACGGAGGCTCAGAGGGGACAGAGGTCCAAACAGAGGCTCAGAGGGGACCGAGGTCCAAACGGAAGCTCAGAGGGGACAGAGGTCCAAACAGAAGCTCAGAGGAGACAGAGGTCCAAACGGAGGCTCAGAGGGGACAGAGCTTTTTCTGTTGCCGCTCCAAGACTGTGGAACGATCTCCCTGTTCACATCAGACAAGCCCCTTCACTGTCTATTTTTAAAACTCTTAAACACGTTTTTATTCCCTGGCTTTTAGTACAGACTGAATTTGCTGTTTTTATTGTTTTTATTGATCTTAATGTTTTAACAACTGTTTTATTTTTATGCGTTTAAATTTTCTTGATATTATGTGTACAGCACTTTGTTGCAGCTGTGATTGTTTTAAAAGGCTTTATAAATATATTATTATTATTAAACAAATGTATATTTCTGAGCCAAAGCCTTGTCCCAGTTGTCAAACAGGCACCTTTATTAACAAAGCTGTAACTGTACAAAATAAATGTCTAAAAAATAAAATACAATTTATTTCCTCCATAACAAAACCAAAAACACAGCTGTGCACTTAAAATTTAAACAGAACACATCCAGATCAAACATAATGAAAGGATAATTTGATGTTTAAAAAGTCTGATTCTGATGAATGAACATTTATTCACCTTTATTAACAAAGCTGTTAGAAAGCCCACATCGTTGTGTAGTTGGCTTGTTTACTGAGCTCGGTTCTGTTTAGTTACGGCTTATTTCTTTCTGAATTTCATAGTTCCTTTGCTCTTGAATGCACCGTGGCTGTTCTGACGCTAGTGAACGCACCACTCTGTGTAAAGTGTCTGTTGGGTGTGTCGGTCGGAGTTTGTTTCTCTCCCGACACGGACATAGCCTTGCTGCTTTTGCTGAGCCTTGAACTTCCGTTTGCGTTTTACTGGTTACTGCTGTGTGTAAATACCAGAAGAAACACAGAACATAAATCACCGTAAACTGGATATTTGTCTCTATGCTTTTTAATGAGAAGACAACTTCGTATCTTGCCACTAAACCAGTTCATTTCCTGGAGATCAAACCTCTCCTTTGTAGTAGATACCGTAATTTTCACACCTATCAAGAATTTACTCACACTGTGAGTCAAAAAAAGACATATCTGCATATCTAGCTTAGCTCAGCTTTATAATTCAAATACAACGTTCAGATGCAGCAAGCGACAGGGGACATATGGGTTTGTATTCAGTGAGGGAGAGAGGAGGGGTGGCATGAAGGTGCACACTAGGAGAACAACTGCTGGATTTTCAAGTATAATTATAACTCTACGTAGAGTATAAGACTATATTGTTATATATCGATATAGTCTCATTTTATATCACAGTTGCCCAGCCCTATTACCCAGAATTTGAAAATCTTAAAAACAAATTCCACACTTGAAAAATCCATACAAGTTATTTGTTTTGTTGTGCTATGAACACAAATCAGTCAACCTTACCTGTACAGTCTTCAGCTGCTGGGCCTGTAACGTGGTCACCTGGTTGCCAGAACTCACCACCATCGGTTTCAGCTCTGACCTCCCACCAATGGTCACAACTTTGAATTGTGGCGTTTGCAACTTGGTGTCTCCTGAAGTCGGTAAAACTCCAGGTTTGCTGCCTGTGTGGGGTAACTGAAGCACTATAGGTTGTCCCGATTTTCCTATAGTTGTGACCAAAAGTTTTTGTCCTTCCTGCTTGATGACTTGAGGTTGGGTACCTGCAGATTTTGCTGCTTCTTGGACTTGAGACGAGGCCACCTTATTAAGAATGATCTGGTGGTTAGCAGCAGAAATGGCAAACTGAGTTGTGAGCTTCTGTAAACCACTTGTGGAAACAGTAGTTCCAGTGACACTGTCTGTAGTTTTGGTTGTGGCCATGGACGTAGACAAGGCTGGTTTGATGGTAAGAAGGGGTGATGAAGTGGAAACAAAAGTAGATTGATGACTTCCAGGGCTGATACAGACAGTGACGTCTGTGGCTGCAGAAGTGGTCAGAGTCTTGGTCTGCTCCATCAATGTGACATTTGAAGAGATGCTCAGATTTTCTGAAGACATGGGTATATCGATTTCCATCGGAACTACAGTATCATGGCTGGTCTCAGAATGGGCTGCAGCGACATCAGACTGAGAATGTGGGACATCATCTATGGCCTCAGTATCCATGATTTCATCAGGAAGAAGGCTGTTCAGTTCTGGTGACACCACATCCATGCTTGTTGTGTTTCAGCTCTTCGTTAATCCTGAAAAAGAAAGTGAAGTTTATTTGTATTGCGTCAAATATAACGAGGCTCATCATACTTAGTTATTGTGCAAATGAATGCACCTTATTCACGAAAACACTGCTGCAAGAAACACAGAAATGAGACAGTCAAAAGCTAAATTATTAGTACAAGAATATGATTCTAAGTATGTTGGTTTATAGTTATTGAACGGCACTGAAAAGTGAGGGAAGAGCCAAAATCTTTTCCACATTTATATACAAGTGTGTACTGAGCCCCGGAGGACACGGGGGATTTATTTTTTCTTTTCTGTTACCTCGCAATATTTTTGCATTTCCTCACAATACTATACCGTATGTAATGTTACCTCACAGACAACGAACGTTCCTCCCTCAAAGAAACTGGTCCAGATTACGTGATTTAACCTTTTTTGTTCTCAGAGACAACAGCAAAAATGGAACAAACACCCGTACTTGAGGTTCGTGGAGTTTTGTTTTGAAATCAGCCTTAAATATAAGGATATCCAGTGTGGTAAATGGACTACACTTATATAGAGCCTTTCTATCTTATTTTAAGATACTCAAAGCTCTTTACACTACAATCTGTGCCTCATTTACCCATTCATACAGCACTCTACTAGATCTCTACAAAGCTAATTGAACAAATCATTCTAATGAGACTAATCAGAGCTTTATCACATTCATACACTGATGGGACACACATCAGAGGCTACGAGGGGTTCAGTGTCTTGCCCAGGGACACTTCGACATGTGACTGCTGGTGGATTCGAACCTCCAACTCTCGCATTGGAGGACGACTGCTCGAACCACTCAGCCACAGCCGCCCCAATGGTAAAAGTTTTACATTGGATATTTCAAGTTCATGCTCCGAGGATTCAGCGGTAGCTTCCTCGTTCGAGCCGACGCATGCAGCCTTATTTCGGTCAGCTGCTCAGTCTGTCCCTCCTCCAAGGAGCAATGGTTCTTAGGGACCGTCAACAAATTACTGGGCTTGGTCTGAACATAGTTATTATATTTTAGATATATTTCCAGAGTATTTGTCAAAGCAGCACTATGTATCATAACTAAAGTTTCCTTAGTATATTTCTGCATGGTAGTAATTCATGAATTTTCCCACCATTTAACATCCAAAAGAACAAGGTGGTACTTGTGTTTCAAAAGCACTGTAACTTCCTTTTAATGAATCAAAGTTCATTCAAGGACTCAAGGTTTTTTATTTGTCATTCGCACCACATGTGGTGCATGTGGTGGAACGAAATTGTGTACACAGGGTTCCAGTTACATCCAACAAAAGTATTAAAATGTGTGTAAAAGAAAATAGTATAATAAGATCTAAAGATATGAACTAAGAAAAACATTAACTAAAAACACACTCAGCACACACTTCCAAAGGGCTTCATCAGTCTGAGGAGTCCCAAGTAAACTGTTGTCCCCACTAAAGCCCCCAGTATACTCCCGCGTACGTCCATACGTAGAGGTACGGATGTACGTACGCAGAGGTGCGAGCGTACCCCCCAGGGCATGTCCGTGCAAAGATCAATTTTTACGACCGCAGGTGTCGCACAATAAACTGCCCGGCGACGGACTGTTTTGTATGCGACACCAATGTATTAAATTCCCCTTCTTCATCCCTGATCTGGCCTTTTCTTTTGTTTTTTTTGCCAAGAGGCAGTGATCTCTTCCTCCTCTGTTGATGCCATGACTGAAATGGTGAGAAATGAAAGAATTTGTCACGAGCGAATTAAACTCAGGTTCAGCATGGCTGCAGGAGGGTCTAGAGACTTCCTGGTGGGCTGGTCTGATGTTTGGGCTGCAGAGCTAGCACTCCCTGTTTTTTTTTTGTTTTTTTTAAGATCTTTTTATTAACAACATATGAACACAGAACACCGCTGTGGCTGAGGCTGCCAGCAATCTTTTTTTTTTCCCCCAACCTGTCAATCAATCCAGTAGGCGTGTCAGCAAATGATCAATTGGCGACCTCAATTTGTCCCGAAGGTAAACGCCCCTCGTCTGTGAAGCTGCTCTGCAGCTGCTCGCGGTGTACGCTGGAGTCTGAAGTCTGAACCCTCTGCGTACAGTACACGCGTACGTGCGCGTGAACAGATGTACGCTGCAGTATACTGGGGGCTTAAGCAGTACACTCCTTTAGTGAACCAACCAGTTTGCTGGTGACTGATGAAGCCTCCGGATAGAGAGCGAAACGTCTTTCCACAAAAAAAGAAACTGTGCAGATGACCTGACTTACCATTATTGTATTTTGTACCTGGATGATTGAGCATGAACTTTGATGCAAAAGAAAGTTACAGTACTTTTAAAACGCAAGAACCACTTTGTTCTTTTGGATTTTAAATGGTGAGAAATTTCATGATTTATTACCATGCAGAAATATACTGAGAAAACTTTAGTTATGATACATGGTGCTGCTTTGACAAATACTCTGAAGATATGATAATTTTTTGACGGTCCCTAAGCGAACCATTGCTTCTCGGACTGCCTGCGTCGGCTCGAACGAGGAAGCCACCGCTGAATCCACGGAGCATGAACGTGAAATATCAAATGTAAAGCACACACTAGATATCCTTATATTTAAGGCTAATTTCAAAATTCAATTCAGTTTATTTATATAGCGCCAACAAGTCACAAACTCCACCAACCTTAAATAAGGGTGTCTGTTCCATTGTTGCTGTTATCTGAGGTAATACTACATATAGTACAGTATTGCAAGGGAACGCAATAACGTTTGTGTGGAAACGTATAAGTATTGCGAGGGAGTGCAAAAAGGAAGAAAATCCCCCATGTCCCCTCCCGGGCTCCTTAAGTGTGACTACACCTGTATTGCGCGCCGCTAGCTTCACGCAACACGTTTGAGCTGTATTCTGTTTGTACAGACCGTTTTTGAGTATGTGTGTGTGTGGGGTTCAGTGTGAGAGAAGAGGCAGTGTGAGCACGGCCTTCAGCTTTTTAGCTAGAGCGCCTGTATTGCACGCCGCTAGCTTGGCGCTATGTCATTGCCGGGGAAGTTCAGTTTGGTAGGCAGGATGCTCAGTTCTGTTGACAGGGTGGGGCACCCCACTTGTATAATGGTAGGGGAAACACTGCAGTGCAATTGAACACTAATGTTAACTTGCCAACTTGAGAGGCACGTAGCTAATGACAAGCAGGTTGGAGGATTGAAGAGAATTGATTATTATTTGTTGTATTTTATTATTTCACAAGTCAGTTAAAATAAACTAACTAAACTAGAGTATGTTCAGTAAAATGCGCTACACAATATTGCTCCCTGCTTTGGCTGTGATAAACGTTAAACGTGAAACTTAAAGCCACGACTTGAAAGTAGTCTTCATACACCCTCTTCTGGATACATTGTACAATAACGGCTGATTCACAGCATTTTAGGAATGAAAATTAGAAGTGTTTATATCAGCACATAATGGGACAATTATCACTGATACGATTGGTCCCCCAAACATCTATATTGACCTAAAATATCGGCCCTACCAATATATCAGTCAGGCTCTGGAGAAAACCCATACAAACACGAAGGAGAACATGTAAACTGCACACAGAAGGACTTCAGGTCCAAACCAGGGACTGAACCCACAACCTTCTTGCTGTGAGGCAACAGTGTTAACCACTGATCCACTGAGCTGCTTCTCAAATCAGTGAATGAATTTCACTGAAGCTTCTAGGAAATATTCAATGGATATATTCTGGTAAACGATTACCTTTAGAAACCAACTCCACTGATGACAGTTGCCGCAACCAATTAACCTTAAAATACGCAAACAAGGTTATAATTCTATTAATTTACAGTTATCAGCCTAAAATTTGATGTGGTACTACCTCTGAGTCATGCACTACATACTTTAAGAGCTACTCATTGTGCAAGATATTTGAGAAAAAAATATTTTCAGCCTTACAAACAGCACACCAATGTCCCCTGTCTCAGGGTTGTTGGTTTTTTTTTTTTCATTCAACCTTTATATAGACAGATTAATCCCATTGAGCCTCGAGGACTCATTTACAAGAAAGACCTGATTTCAACAAAGAATGATGACAACAATGGACAACAGCGACAACAATAGACAGCCACAAAAAAGGCATACAGATGTATTTTTTTACAAATAAGATGGGCCAAAAAAAGTACCAAAAAACAGCTAGATTCTAAGGCGAATGTAGAAAACTAAAAACAGGAACATGTCTGCATTGGTCCCTGCCAGGCATCCAAAAAATTCATAAAGCCACTTAGAGAGGTCAAGGTCGAGAGCTTCAGATCTTTTTGGAAGATATTCCAGGAAACAGGAGCCGAGAAGGAGAAGGCCCTTTTGCCTAGTTCAGTCCGCACAGAGGGAACACTGCAGGTAATAATGTCATGAGAGTGGACGCTGTACATGCACTCACACAGAGATATGTAGGAGGAGATGTACAAACCGGATTCCAAAAAAGTTGGGAAACTAAACAAATTGTGAATAAAAACTGAATGCAATGATGTGGAGATGGCAAATGTCAATATTTTATTCGTAATATAACAGATGACAGATCAAAAGTTTAATCTGAGTAAATGTAACATTTTAAAGGAAAAATATGTTGATTCAAAATTTCACAGTGTCAACAAATCCCAAAAAAGTTGGAACAAGTAGCAATAAGATGCTGGAAAAAGGAAATTGAGCTTATAACGAACAGCTGGAAGACCAATTAACACTAATTAGGTCAATTGACAACATGATTGGGTATAAAATGAGCTTCTCAGAGTGTCAGTGTCTCTCAGAAGCCAAGATGGTAAGAGGATCACCAATTCCACCATTGTTGCACAGAAAGATAGTGCAGCAATACCAGAATGGTGTTACCCAGTGTAAAATAGCAAAGACTTTTAAGTTATCATCATCAACCATGCATAACATTGTCAAAAGATTCAGAGAATATGGAACAATCGCTGTGCGTAAGGGTCAAGGCCGGAAAACTCTACTGGATG